GATTGTGTCAATTAGACTCTCCCCTGTGAAGGCCTCATCAACACGACAGCCACTGCACTGCACTGATCCTCAACAAACCCGTCTCCATACCGGTGTGATGACTCCGATCTTCAACTAGATGGAACTGGATAATATTCTGATAGTTCCAATCCAATCTGACTTCTGACCTATAATGCTGCCTGAATCATAATCATACACTGTTCGTTCGTTGGCCAGAGGAGAACTGGACTGAGCCTGGTTTGGCCACCTGATGGAGTTTTGGTTCCTTGCCACTGTCGCCTTTTTCCACCTTTTTTCACCTTTATTGCCATTGGCTTTTGGCTTGCTTAGTTGGGGACATTAATATTCAATAATAAAATTGATCTGCCTGCACTGACACCATTATTTGAGAACAGAACTGAGCTGGACGATGACATCACGGTTTTCTCCATCACGGTTTTCTCTATATATATAAATTAACTAAATTAATAACTTTTTTACAACAAAAATGAAACATCACAGAACTTACTTAAGCTAGACTGTGACACTAATGTCTTCTGGAAACAAACTTTGTTGCATTATTTTCCTGTTATCTCTGTAAAGCTGCTTTGAAACAATCTGTTGTGCATGTAAAAAGCGCTATATAAACAAATGTGACTTGACTTGACTTGTGAAGTGTGTGTGAAGTGTGCACACATGTGTGAGGACTAAAAAAGGTGCATGGATTAACAGATTGAACTATTACAGTCCTCTTTTTTCTAAGAAAAGAATACAAAATATTACAAATTATCAACTATTGTAAACAATCAATCAATAAATAAAGATTTATATTATCATAACAAAATATTTAAGTTGACTTAAAGGTGCCCTATGTAAAAATTGAGGTAAAATTATCCAAAAAATGAGCTACACGCATCAAAAGAATGAGAAGAAATAAGTGCAATGATGTCATTAAAAAATTGACAAGTTATAGTGCTGCCGAGATATAAACCTAAATTAGCATGCTAAATTACTAGCGCCGGCCCGACTGGTGTCGTAATACCAGTTTCGATTTGACGGTTTTAGAAGATTAACAAACCGAAACTAAAAAACAGACTAGAGTAGGCCAACTTTCTGGAGGTATACTGCCCCCATCTGGTATGGAATATGCGGAGTATGAATTTTATTTTTTGGCAGACATTCCACATGGCACCTTTAAAACATGATTCTACCATAAAACAGACAAAAATAAGACATCTGATTTATGTTTTAAGTACAGGCAAAATCTGAATATGAAGGGAACTGTGTTGTTATTTTCTGGGTTTCATTGTTAGATTTGCCTTTATTTTTGTTATACAAGCAGTTGGAATAATATGCAGTTTTCAACGACTATCATATTGGAGTTCAAATTGCTATCGTAATTCTCTAAAGAAATCACTTAATTGTTAGAATTTGTTGCATGAATTTTTATGCAAATAGTCTAACTCTATATGAGATCATGTGTCTCTTGTCAGCTAAAACCACATTTGATCTTATTTCTTCATCAAATTTGATAGATTAAATTAGTGCTTAAATGAGATCGATTTTGTAATCGTTTCATCTGATTTGAGGCCGCATGTGTCGGACACTCGGGTGAAGAGAGGGGCGGAGCTGTCAACTGATCACCACCTGGTAGTGAGTTGGGTCAGGGGGTGGGGGAAGAATCTAGACAGACCCGGTAAGCCCAAACGGGTAGTGCGGGTGAACTGGGAACGTCTGGAGGAGACCCCTGTCCGCGAGATTTTCAACTCACACCGGCAGAGCTTTTCTGGCATCCCTGTGGAGGTTGGGGACATTGAACCTGAGTGGGCAATGTTCAAAGCTTCTATTGCGGAAGCTGCAGCGGGAGCCTGTGGTCTCAAGGTCTTAGGTGCCTCAAGGGGCAGTAACCCTCGAACACCGTGGTGGACACCGGTGGTCAGGGAAGCCGTCCGACTGAAGAAGGTGGCCTTCTGGGATTTGTTGTCCCGGAGGACTCCGGAGGCGGTTGCAAGGTACCGACAGGCCCGAAGGGCTGCAGCCTCTGCCGTGGCAGAAGCAAAGCAGCGGGTGTGGGAGAAGTTCGGAGAAGACATGGAGAAGGACTTTCGGTCGGCACCAAAGTGCTTCTGGAGAACTGTCCGCCACCAATGGAGGGGGAAGCGGGGAACCATCCAAGCTGTGTATAGTAAGGATGGGACTCTGTTGACCTCAACTGAGGAGGTAATTGGGCGGTGGAAAGAACACTTTGAGGAACTCCTAAATCCGACTGACACGCCCTCTCTAGTAGAGGCAGAGCTGGAAGCGGATGGGGGATTCTCATCAATTTCCCTGGTGGAGGTCACTGAGGTAGTCAAACAACTACACAGTGGCAAAGCCCCAGGGATTGATGAGATCCGCCCAGAAATGCTAAAAGTTTTGGATGTGGAGGTGCTGTCTTGGATGACACGTCTCTTTAACATTGCGTGGAAGTCGGGTACAGTGCCCAAGGAGTGGCAGACTGGGGTGGTGGTTCCCCTGTTCAAAAAGGGGGACCAGAGAGTGTGTGCCAATTACAGGGGTATCACACTTCTCAGCCTCCCTGGTAAAGTCTACTCCAAGGTGCTCGAAAGGAGGGTTCGGCCGAAAGTCGAACCTCTGATTGAAGAGGAACAATGCGGTTTTCGTCCCGGCCGTGGAACAACGGACCAGCTCTTTACTCTCACAAGGATCCTGGAGTGGGCTTGGGAGTATGCCCATCCAGTCTACATGTGTTTTGTGGATCTGGAGAAGGCATACGACCGGGTCCCCCGGGAGATACTGTGGGAGGTGCTGCGGGAGTATGGGGTGAGGAGGCCCCTTCTCAGGGCTATCCAATCCCTGTACATCCAAAGCAAGAGCTGTGTCCGAGTACTCGGCAGTAAGTCGGACTCTTTCCAGGTGAGGGTTGGCCTTCGCCAGGGCTGCGCTTTGTCACCAATCCTGTTTGTGATATTCATGGACAGGATATCGAGGCGTAGTCGTGGTGGGGAGGGGTTGCGGTTCGGTGGGCTTGGGATCTCGTCACTGCTTTTTGCGGATGATGTGGTCCTGATGGCATCATCGGTCCGTGACCTTAAGCTCTCACTGGATCGGTTCGCAGCAGAGTGTGAAGCGGTCGGGATGAGGATTAGCACCTCTAAATCTGAGGCCATGGTTCTCCGCAGGAAACCGGTGGAATGCCAACTCCAGGTAGGGAATGAGCCCTTACCCCAAGTGAAGGAGTTTAAGTACCACGGGGTGTTGTTCACGAGTGAGGGGAGATTGGAGCAGGAGATTGGCCGGAGAATCGGAGCAGCGGGGGCGGTATTGCACTTTGTTCCTACCCTCACCTATGGTCATGAAGGCTGGGTCATGACCGAAAGAACGAGATCGCGGGTACAAGCGGCCGAAATGGGTTTCCTCAGGCGGGTGGCTGGTGTCTCCCTTAGAGATAGGGTGAGAAGCTCAGCCATCCGCGAGAAGCTCAGAGTAGAGCCACTGCTCCTTTGCGTCGAAAGGAGCCAGTTGAGGTGGTTTGGGCATCTGGTAAGGATGCCTCCTGGACGCCTCCCTAGGGAGGTGTTTCAGGCACGTCCAGCTGGGAGGAGACCTCGGGGAAGACCCAGGACTAGGTGGAGAGATTATATCTCCACACTGGCCTGGGAACGCCTCGGGATCCCCCAGTCAGAGCTGGTTAATGTGGCTCGGGAAAGAGAAGTTTGGGGTCCCATGCTGGAACTGCTGCCCCCGCGACCCGACCCCGGATAAGCGGATGAAGATGGATGGATGGATGGATGAGATCAAATGTGCTGGACCAGCACTTAAAGACACAGTATATAAGTTTCATCACTAGAGGTCACTTTTTCAAAACAATAACAAATGTATACCAGACATGTGTTATGAAGCAGGGTGGTTCCGAGAGCCTGGGACATTTTACATTGCTGTTTTTATTATGCTTATATGCCGCAGTCGGCCGCTGCCACTCCGTTCGCTTTGTTGTTTATGCATATTTTATGATTAAAGTTACTGTTAATGTTACGTTTAACATTCACCTGCTTCCCTGAAATTTAACTTTGTTACAGTTACGTTTGATCACTTAAATTCACATTATTTTATTTCATTCTAATAAAACAGCTGCAAGTGCTGAATTACTACTCATACAGGTCACTTTATCTGACGAATTAAAATTGGGGGGTAATACTGCGCTGTTTAACTTTGTCAAAACAATCATACTAAAAATACGTCTGAGTGTGTTGAAAGTGTTGTTATAACATTACTCTGCGCGTTCTCTCTGTGGCTGGTATGAGACACTTGATGCACACCGCAGTAAGCTAGATCGATATTATCATATTAATAAAGCTGGATGATTTATGTTGCTAAATGGCATGCAGTTAATTTTTAAATATATTGTGTGGTAGAGAAAATGCTGTATTACTGTTGCTACAAATAAAGCTCTTTCTGATTTTGCTATGTTAGCAACAAAATAGTGTTGTCTCTGGTGTTGTTGCATGGTACAAACATGTTACTCGCAGTAAATCAAGAAAACAAGAGATCCAAACAATAAGAGTAACCGTGTTGAGCTATATAACAATGATTAGTTGTCTGTCTATAAAACTATCCAAACATTTGTTCACAAGTCTTATAAAGTGCGTCTTTAGTGTTTCAATGGTTTCTACAGAAGTAAAACCGGAAATCGGGAGTAACCCATATGACGTCATTGAAAGGCGACGTGACGACACGGGCCATTACACTGGTTAAAATAGCTGATTTATCTGGATTAAAACATTGATGGAAAAATTTGGGATAATGTATGTACACAAGTCAACCAAATATATAACATAGTTTTAGTGATTTTTGGATATTTTAATCCCAAAATCTTACATATTGTGCCTTTAATGGCATTTTTAAGCCACATACTGTATGTAAAAATCTCTGACCCAGTTTCAGATTTGTGAAATGGGTTTAGTAGGTGGGTTTATTAGGACTGCCACGGGAACGACGTGGTGTGTGAGAATCTGACTTACTGCAATAGCCTGGAGCCGTTCCTGCTGTGAGCCTGATTCTGACATCCTGAAAGACAGAAAAAAATATATTAGGCTAGTAGATACAACAATGGTCCCAAACAGAGGACAGATTTGCTTCCTGTTGGTAATTTGACTCTCTTAGCTATTTTGGTGAATTCAGAAGACTGAGTGTAAAATTACATAGTTGCTGCCTTCACATAGGTATATTGTATATATACTGTATATGAGATGATCATACCCACACAACACATAACCACGATGTTGTAATTACCATTGGGGAATTTTCCTAGAGCCCTGACTTTGAAGTGTTAATTAAGAATCATGATGGAAGCATATTGTTATTGATTAGATAGATAGATAGATAGAATAGATAGATAGATAGATAGATAGATAGATAGATAGATAGATAGATAGATAGATAGATAGATAGATAGATAGATAGATAGATAGATAGATAGATAGATAGATAGATAGATAGATAGATAGATAGATAGAATCTGTTAAAGGTCTTAAAAATAATAAAGACTGCCAAGATGCAGCTTAAAATGGTGCTTTCCCACAATGCAAGAAGGGAAAAGTTTGAAAACCGATTCTGGAGCTTTCTGAGATTTGATTCATGCTGAGTTTGATTGAGCAAGAGAAGAAAATATTCAGCATTGGAGTGAAACTGCAAAAATTCCTTTTGTAAGGTTTGTGCAATTGTTTCCATGAAGAGCATAAAATGGCTGAAGAACCGTGTTAACGTTGACCACATCCTCATGCGGGAGAGATTGCTGTAGACAAATGGCAGTGTGAAGTTATTACAAATGAAATCAGTTTTCCGATCAGGAACATCCTCATTCAACTCACTCCCTCATATATTGTCAACACACACACATTTCCTTGTTCATTCGCTAAAAGCCCAGCCTAAAAGGTCTTCCAAACAGTAAGATGGACCCCTGCTGTCAGCCCCGTCTGCTGAAGGACACAGCTGTGGCGGAGGCTCCTATGCCATCAGGGAAAAGAAGAATGTGAAGGTTGTTCTCCGACCCACCACATTCGCATTCCCATCCCTCCCACGAGTAAAACACAACACCTGTACAAACAGCCTGGCAGAGGAACTGAACGGATGACAGCAGCAAAAGAGTGGAGTTAGTGCATGATGCTGAACCTGGTAACCATACGCCAACACTAGGTGATTATGCAAACATCCTTTTGGAAGGCAATATGACTGGTAGGATGATGTTTAAAACTATGCTTTGTATCTGAACTATTATAAAATAGTGAATTTATATCTAAATCTCAAATATCCAAACCATCATTATTATTCTTTTCCGCCAACTGGTGCTTTTGGACAGTTAGTTTCAATGAACCGGTTCAGAAAAACGATTCACCAGTTAATATACGCAATCATGCAAAGATGTCACGTATATGCAATTATATTATTAAATAATGATGTGAAACACAGACGTTTTATGTCTAAAGCATGAGGTGAATAAACTAGTATTAATCAACAAACCTCTTTATAAACCATTTCGTCATTCAAGTCAACTGCTAGTTTTTGCATGCTCATATCAGCAGCCCATTGGTTCTTAGCGGAGATGTCTGAGTCTAACTGTTTCCTCAGTTCAGTGTACTAGTAATTCGAGAAATGTTGTAGGCCTAAACATTAATCGATCCTTGACTCGAGAGAGAACTGCTATCAGTGTACTGCTGTTGACTAGAGAACTACTGGCATCAGAAAACTGTTATATTTCCAATACATTTTATTTATGATACTTTATGCTTTACAGCAAAAGACATTAGAAACATCTCCCCTCCCTTTATGGCAGACAGTTCTCAGCATGTCGGATATGTCCAATAGACTGTTCTCAGTTCAGTGTACTGTTGGACTAACTGAAACACTGAATGAGTTGGCAAAAACTGGCATCATAGGATATCCTAGGAATTGGCTCGATTCGAATTGGTGTGACTGTCAGGCACGTCCGAAAGTTTTGATTGAGTAACTAGATCTGTGCTGACTCAAGCCATGAGTTGTTTCAGAAGGTTCAGTCCGACTGAACTGGTTCATCTAGTTCACTAAAAATAACTGGATCAAAGGAAAGATTTATTCGCGAACTGAAAATCACTATAGACTTATATTTAAGGAGTGTCCTGAGCCATATCTATGGAGCAAAATAACAGAGACGAATTGGGCCGCATGATTAATCGAAATTAAACCAGAATCGCAATATGGCTTAGTGCAATGATCTAATCGCAAAGGCTGTGATTTAATTAGATAAATATATGTGCCTCATGTTTCAGAGTGAAGCACGGCGCTGTATTCTTACACATGAGCAGTCCATTATCTGATGTTTGCAGCATCTCAGAGCGGCTTGGTTTGCAGTAAATGCAAAAGTTTGGGTCGATTTAATGTGCATTTGGGAACAAGGCAACCATCTTCCCAAACTTGTAATGAGAAGCGCTTATCAACAAAGGAAAAACGTTAGGGGCTTTATATTATATTATAGATATTATTATTGTTGTTGTTGTTTTGTACTGTAGCCATATTTAAATATAGCCTGACTATGTCAGACTTCGTACTTCCGCTCAATTTCAGTTCGCTTCTGTACTCAGTCTGAGATAGCGACCTATCTCTCAGTTTTCCTCCGGCCTGAAAACAGCCGGCCAATCAACGAACAGAGGGCGGGCTGAGAGCCGTGATGTAGACGCTAAGCGCCGAGTATGATTGTATGTTAGGTTAGGGAAATCGAAAACGACCGCGGATATGGAGATACGGGATGCAATTCGCTCTGTTGTGGAGAATATTCCCGGCATTTGCAAACTGAAGCCCGAACAAGAATAGTGTTTGTTAAACATTTTGAATGGAGGTGATGTTTAAGTTGGAGAGAGAGATGATTGGGTTATGTGATTGGCTTACGTGTAACCAATGATTTTATACTTCAGACAAGCGCCCCCCGCGAGAAAGAAAACACTTTTCAATTATGCCATTCCAGACTCTGTCTACGAAGCAAAGCGAAGTAGCAGAGTTTGGTATTACCAGGCTAATTAAAATACTTATATTCACAAAATTTTGGCCAAATTGTGCAGCTCTACAAAACACAGCAAACCTGGATTTTTTTTAATCGCAATACTTATCAGAAAGATCACAAGTGTTTTTCCCCAAATCATGCAGCCCTGATTGAGAGTGAGATCTTTTGATTTGGACAAGTAAACAACTACCTGGCAACACTCCCAGAAAACCCTAGCAAATCAACAGCAACATGCTAACAACCATTCAGAACACCTTAGCGACCACCAACACCCTGGTAACCACCAACAACACCCTAAAATTGTGGCAAACCATTCACATTTTTTACATAAAATATAAAAATGAAGCAGTCTTCCCTTCTTTGTCATGGAACAAATCTAAAATTGGTATAGCATGAGTGTCATGGTTAGGTGGCTGTAATAAAGCGCACGATAAAGGTGAAACTCAAGAAGAATTTTAATATGATACTCCACATACCAAACAGGAGAAAATCTAGGAGAATATGCAACCAAATAACACATAGACCTTAAACAATGCAGAACAAGAAACAGGAAGAAACTGAGGGCTTAAATACAAGTGCAAACAAATGAGTTATGAGATAATAAACAAGACACACCTGAACAGAATACTCAAATCAATCAGAAACCATGGAGACGAACAGGCAGGGAACAGATGAAGACACAACTAATTAACAAACTAGAAAGCTGACCTCGAAACAGACATGAACAGAACAAAAAAAAAAAAAAACAGACCAAAGATGAACTCAAAACGTGACAATAAGGTATTTTAATGGGGATATTTTTTTGTGTGTGTGTGTGTGTGTCAGTTCTGCTTGATTTCTGCATTGATCAGAAATGAGTACTCAGCAGTATTCGCATCCACATCCAGACAGACTGATGATACACTGCACAAAACACTGCATTAAGCATTAAGCAAAACAACTAAACCGATCTATATGGACACAAATATTTAATGTTCCTCTTTGATTTTAAAATCTTGAAATAATAGCCTCACCATAAATAAGGGAAAAATCCCTCACCATAAATAAGTCATACTCACGAAACTAACAAACACCCATTATATTCAATGAAGCCAGGTGCACTGCAAACAAACTATAGTTGTGTTGTGTTCTGCAAAATAATTGGCCAATTTGAGATTATTGTACCAGACTGGCAGATGACAGAAGTGTTTTCAACATTTTAGTCAATTTTGACTAGATATTGCGAAAAATGCATGTTTTTGGTTGGTTTTTTGTTGCTTTCAACTGTTACGTGTTATTTGCAACCAATGCTGAAGAAAATAATTCCTGTCACTTGCAGCACAAATGAAGTGCGAAAGCAATGCCTAAATTGGGAATAGCATAATATTACTCTTCCTATGGTAAAAATAGTGAGAGTAGGCCAATGACGGTGTTCAAAAGGTTTCCCAAACACTCCCCTTGACTAACATAAATAAATTGAATAAACAAATAGTCCCATGCCTGAAGGCCTGTTCACACCAACACAAATGTTCGACACAAAAATTCGGTCTTATTTTCACAATTTCAGATTCTTTCTTTGTCACTTAGCAAAATAGTCTGATCATGAGTGTAACAGAGTTGTAGATTAATTAAGATGTTTATCGCGTCACATTTTCGCACCAGACATTCATCTTGGAGTGAACAGCCCAACATTGGCTGAGCCAATATTATGTCAGACTGGTGGGAGGCTCAAACAGCTGAATTCGGAATATAAATACCACTGAACGACAATAATTGCTATGCTAATATGCTACTCCGAGTTTGGCTAATGTTTACACATTTGAGTGGAATCAGTCTATAAATGATTTACAAATACAGATACAGATGCCCATATTGGGTAAGAAGCAAGAAAAGCAGGTTAGTTAGTTTCACAAACAGAAGAAAAAAATGCTTCATAAAAAGAAACTGTTCCCTACAAATTGAGCTCAGTGCAAGTCTGCCGCAGTGCTGGGTTGGGGGTTAGTAGGTCAGTGTTGTCAGGCATAAAGTGACATAATGTAATTCTCACAGAACCGTA